CGGGGTGGTTCCCAGGCATGTCTCTAAAGGAAGTGAACTGCAGGGCCGTTGTCCATCAGGCAAGCGGAGTCCATTCACTCCCCATCCCTGCAAGCTGCCCGCTCGGGTAGGGCAATGGCTGCGATGGAGCCCTGTTGTCTCCCTTACTGCACTCCCCGCGAGAGGCCTGCCACACCCTGTGGACATTGAAGGCAAATATAGCGATGCTTAGCCGCCACGTTTGGGGAAGTGCACATGCACATTTATGGCAAAGAAAGCTGGTCGTTTATCATGGACTAGCTGTCAAGATATGACAACCCCTTCTTTGTTTGGAATTGGACACTCCAATGTCTGTCAGCCAACCTGGGTCTGGGCGAATTCAACGCGGCTTTGGCGCCCTTGGCCAGTTGGATTCCCTAAAAAAGCGAGCGCTTCAGTCAGGATGGCTTCGAGAACGGCATCTGCTTGAAACGACGGCAAATTCTTTAAGGCGTTGGAAGAAGAGTCTGTCAGATGTCAGAGACAACCTGGGTCTGGGTCCACATTCCCAGTCTCCATTTCATTCAGGGAGGCTTCACCGCGGCAGTCGTTTCGAGTGCATCCCCCTGCATCCCGTTTCTCCCGGTGGCCGAGGCAAGGAAGCCCGGCATCTGCCGTCCAGAAAGCTGGGCTCCCGGAGCCCGGGGCGACGGAAGTCCACTTAGGCGGTCGGGCAGTGGCCTTTGTCGGAGAGGGAGGATCAGTTCCAACCGCCCAAATTTCCCGCCCCCCAACTTCAGTCTCACTAGGGGACATGTGTGCTAAACCAATACTCTCCCAAGACTAAACCAACACTAAACCGAATCTAAACGGACCAAACAGCGACTTCGATGTCTGCTGTTTGAACTCCCTACTGGGTTTTTGCATATATATATATATATATGGCTCGGAAACGGGGGGACCCAATTTGGACGAGAACTTTAGTGGAACCCATTGACGCAGGGATGTGCCCTACTAACAAATATTGCTCGGCACCAGGCGAAAATATTTAGCTGCTGGCGGGGGGGGGGGGGGGTCACAAAACCATGCAATTACAATCTGTTTTGGAGAGCCCTGATAACAACACCCCACAGCAGATCCTCCTTTGTCCAACTGTCCAAGTTCTGTTTTTTGTTTGTGTGTGCACTCGGTGAATCGTCTTTGTCTGGAGCAGGATCAGGCGCGAGTTTCTGGCTCTTGAGAATAGCGGCTTTGACTGCCTCATGGTGGATAGTTTGGTCCAAACTTACCTCTCCCATAGGCTTATCATGCATCAACGTATTGTAGTGCATGATCGCAGAAGAGATCGTCAAGGCCCCTTACCGAGCATCGATGAGCGGAGCACTTTCGGCTAGGGAATGCCCTCCTTAAATGTGTCATGGCAGCACATGGATGCTTCACAAAATGGGTCGCACCACTTCATTTGGATGGGGTAGGATTTCTCTTCAAGACTTTGCCAAACCCAACGGATGTCCTCTTTGCCCGCACTTCAAGGGTTCATGTGGATCCAAACGTGGCGCAAGGACACGTCATGGTTGCCCAGGAAGTACATTTTCCGGGCTGCGATCTGGAACTCGGAGAAGCGAGTCACCCAGCAGCTGTTTGAGAAGCTTACCGGCCTCAGGCCGCCCGAGTCGGTGAAGCTTCTCAGTAAGCCACATTCTGCGCACATCACTCGTGCTCGCTTCCCAAGTTTCTGGAAGGTCGTTTCGGGGCAAGAAAAGGACTGTTGAGTTGCTTGCTTGCGCCCGCAAACAGCGACCTTTACGCCTTCTGGCTGTTTCTGGATCTCAGCAACTAGTCCCCTTAATTTTCAAGAGTGAGAGTTTGATGCTTGCTTTGTGATGAGTACTTGGGGTGGTCGTCTTGGCAAAAGTCGCAAGGTGTCCATCACTTTAACGAGACTTTATCAATGGTCTGAGATGTTGTAGGTCACCTTGGCGTGCTTTCACTTGCGGATGCAGACTGGTGTCCCTTTCCGCAAGCCATTTGTCCCTCAACTTTTCCGGAGGGGAGCCAGACCAGCTCCCTTTTAGGACCCTCTTGAGACCTCCTCCCCCTCCCCGCCTCTCCTTGGCTTCTCTCGCTCTCTCTCTCCCGCCAGGTCGGATCGCTACGGCCAAGCGGAGGAGAAGCCCTCTGGGCGCCCCACCGTGGTGAAGAGCATCTTCTCCGCCATGAAGGCGCCCGACGCAGAGTCGGACGCAGATTCGAAGCGGCGATGGGCGAAAAAGGGGCGGCGAAGGTGAAGAGGAGGTAGACCACAGGGGAAAGCTGGAGCCCAAAATGCTTCCCAGCGAAAGGTCAAGCGCTCAAGCACTTGGACTTACTTCTGTCATATAGTTATGGTCTAGAGACCCTAACAAAAACATGGTCGATTCTGGCCAGTAGACTCAGCAGGTCAACAACATTGGGCGAATCCGCTCGATCTGACTTTCAAATTTGCACACCGAGGAAGCCCGGTACATATCCATAAAAGAGCCCCCCGGGTTTCTTCATTTTCCGATGCTTTGATTCGGGGGCGGACCAAAAACTTGGACAATCCTCATGGTGATTTCCTGGCGGCTTCCGCTCCAAACAGAAGGTGGGTCCCCTTCAAAAAGCCCAAAGCGGCTTTGCATCCTCCTGGCGACATGTGCCGAGGCTCAAGGACTTCGGGGTGTCACAGGCCACCATTGGTCTCACAAGTTCGTCACCCCAAAGTGGCAAGCCCCGAATAAAGCACTCGGACAAACTCAACATAGGCCCAGTCCAAGTGTTTCTCCATGTCCCAAACTAGGTGCCCCTCTCCTTACGGTGGGTCCCGATTTTTTTCTTCAAACCGCCATAAGGGCGTCCACCCACATGTCGAGGTTGACGAGTGGGACCATGGTTTTATGTGGGCCTGCTGTGAAAGGGGCTCCAATCCGCATCCATACCATCCACCACCACCCGCACCTTTGCTGCCAGGACCCCTTCAAATGCTGCGCCGGTCCCAAATTCGAGTGATCGGCCCTCGGCAAAACGCCCAGCGGCGTCAGTGGACGGTACTTCCGCGAGCCGGATACTGCCTACACTTTTCCCGAACTTATTGGCGGTGAGGATTGGTTTTTTCATGGTTGTTGTCGCAGTTGCTTCTACAACCAACTCATGTCTGTGCTGTAGCATACGATTGGCTTCTGGAACACACCAAACTGCGACTTGGGCGAGTTGGGTCGATGCTTTTCAGCCCAGTGACTTGTGACTTGTGATGTTTTGGTGCTGATTTTAGGGCCTGGCGGAGACGCATCAAATTGGAACCCGTCGGCAAGTCGGCAGAGCCAGGCCAGGCCGAATTCGAGCCGAAAAAGGCAGGCATGAGGGGGATGCAAGCAGGGGCCGAAGTGCTGCAGCGTCCACGGGGTTCTGTGTGGGTAACACGCGTTGATTCCTCACGGCTCCGATGCTTTTCGTCCCCAACTTGGCACCTTGGGCACTGCCTCTTGTGCTGGCAAAGCGCCGGAGCTCGGAGAGGGGAGTGGCCAGGGGCCATGCGTGGCTGGCTCAAGGGCAACGGAATGTTTGCTCGGGCGTGTCGACTTGTAAATATTGCGGGCAGCGAGCGGTTCATCCCGCGCTAGTCTTTGTTTGCTTAGGGATGCCGCAAAATGAGAATTACTGACTCTTGACGCATTGCCTAAGAAAGGGCTTTGAACGACCACCCTTTGCAATATGGATGAAATCTGGGTCGCAAGCCCGACAGCCCGAGCAGACGTGCCGGATCTGGCGACCCATAGACAGACCTGGCACGGCCTGATGCTTTTGAGTGAAGATAGTTTGATGTGGACAGCTCTTACGACCCAAGATGTGGGCGAGGCATTCTGGGAGCCAGGTGGACTGCCAGATCGGACGATTGATTCCTAGACCTCATGGAGAGCCTCCATGCAAAAGTCGACCCGCGGGGGCGGGGGACTCCAGCCTGGGAGTTCCGTGTCTGATCACAGTTTTTCCGTTGGGACGCGACTGCATATGAGAGTGTCTTAACACAGGGGACTCCTGGGTGTCCCGTTAGTTTCCCCTTAAAGCACTCCCCCCTCAATCGGGGATTCCAAGTGCATAGCGCATGTGTTTGGGCTCACACCATTGGTACACGTGTGCTTACTTGGGTGGGCAAGAAGCAGCCCTTTGTTCTTGCGCTTGGCGAACCAACCACATATATATATATATATACATGCTATGACCCCCTCCCAATACCAAGGTATTTGCTTTCCATACATACATACATAATATATATATATACACATGTACAGGTATGTATAGATGGTCAAAACCCCTTCCTGGATGAGATTCCACCTTGGAGGTGCTGCTGCAGCTGTGTATTTGTGTGCGTGTGTGTGTGTGTGTGTGTGTGTGTGTGTGTGTGCTCGTAGAGATTTACCAATCGTTATCTCTATTTTGCCATTTGCAACATTTCCCATCCATAGTCCCACCCAATAGACCGCAAGGGCAAAACGTGTCTGTTTCAAGGGACATCCAAAACGAATCCCCGCAAGGCCCCAGGCTTTGGAGGGTGACGCGACGATTGCCATATCCGGGCCGTTACCTTCCCTGGTGGCAACCTTGTCAAAGCGACCACAAAGCCTATCCAAGCCCCTGAGTCCTTGAGCATGTTCTTTTGGCGAGAGCCGACACCATGCTCAAAATACAGATTTGGTTCAGTGTGGTTGGTCAGTGCTGGCTTTCCGAATTTCCAACACATTCCAAAGCAGTGCGCGAGCTTGAATTCAAACTTATTTGGTGGGCGTCAAAGGCTGAGCGTCGTCTATCTTTGAATGCCTTCCAAGTGTGCCGTCAAACTTTTTCTGTTGTCAGCAGCGATGAAACAACCAACTATTTGTATCTGTGGGACGAGGCGATTTGCACTGGGAAGTCTAAGAGTCTAAGAGCTGCACCGAACAGCCTTGGGGTAGAGTGAGTTGATCCATTTTTCGTGTTGCAGGTCACAAAAGCCAAGCACGCAGTAGGATGTACTCTTTACAGCTGAAGACTCCTGTACTTGCACCGCTCTCACATGAAGCCATGGCTGACTTGCACGTCTACTCTGGAGGCTTTACCTCACGCTGCCTGTCAGAAGGGGGCTTCGGGGCCTTTCCGCAAGCTTTGTTTCCAGATCGAGGACGTTCGGTGCACTTAACGCGAAGATCAACGTGTAATGGGCGACACTACTTTCGCTCGCCTGAGCACATCAATTGGCTGGAGATGTCTAAGCACGTTACATGGGTGACCCATTCCGACAATACGCTCATTCAGGGCCATTTGACGTTGCCATTCTGGGCACATTCCTTGTAAAAACTTTGGATAGCCATGCTGTCAAACAGACAGGTTGAGCAAACCACCATTGCTTTGTCCGTTTGAGTGCTTCCATGAATCACAGCTGTTTGCGGTCAGATGTACCATGGGGGAAACACAGCGCACTACTGACAACAGTGCTGCAGCAAGACGTGCAGGGCTCTGGGTGGTTCCAATTTGTTGTCGCCACAGCTTGCGTGGATTCGATTGGACCTTTTTTGTTAGCCGGTGTGTGTGTTTGCGTGTTTGTATAGAGCAGCTTTTGTTTCGGGTGCTTCCTAATGGCACCCCTGTTTATTTGGTTGCTTTTGGTCCCCCCCGCCCCGACTTCTTCATCTGAGTCCATCTGAGCCTTGGAGCGAACATGTTTGCCCAAGGCGATTCGGAGAATCAAAAGAAGGCAAACGCGCGACACGCAACTTGGCCTCATTGGGACCACAAGTGATGTTCAGCTCACATTTCAATGAACGAAAGAAAACTAAAAGCAAACAATTCCTTTTCCTCTGATTGGCTTTAGCTATCAGGTTCTTGGTCCTTGGTTCATTTAATCAATAGGGAGAAGGATGCTTTGCCCTGATATTAAGTGGGATGCTGCCGGGATCAGGCACTTCTCTTGTCTCCCAGTCTTGATGTATCTTTTTCCCTCTTCCTGCTCGGGCCGGTCAACTGCCCATATCCTGCTTTGGTGCCACCTATATGGAGCTGTCCATGTACTTGCCCTCCTTGCCCTCCAACTCTGGCTGCATATTTGGCTGTCAGATGTCTGGCGGATGTCTGTCGAATATCTGTCAGATGCCTGTGGGATGACGTGGTTTGTTGTTGCCTGAGTTGGCCGTTATGGTTGTTGCTTGCCGCTTTTTTTTGCGGCGTTGTCTCTCTAATTGGTCATGTGGATGGTGTGTGTCGGACGGCATGCAATCTTGGGAGAACAGGCAGAGGCAGCATAGGGAAATCCATGCGACCCTTTTGCTGCATGGCTGCAACTGGTGGAAACCATCGCGCATAGGCGTCCTTCTCAGGTTAATTCAATTAGAAGTAGATGGCACTGTTTTAGATTGGTTTTCTTTCACATCGCATTCCCTTCGTTGCCCAAACCCTGCCGTACGCATTGGTGCCTCACCAGCATTCTGGATGGATGCTCCTCAAGCTGACCTCAGACCTGACCCAACACCTCAAGATACAGAACCCAAAGTTGGGGAATTCGGCGCTTTGAGAGTCGAGAGTTGCTTGTGACAGTTGTTCCTTTGTGCTCTCGTTGGGGCAAACCAGGATTCTACAAGTAGCTCATGTCCAAATGCGACGCTGAAGGTGCTGATCCCCAACCTCTTGGCTGTGGCCAAGGCGCGTCGGCGTGTCGCTTTGATTGCTTGAACAGTTTGAGAATTTGCGCGCTTTTATGGTTCAGCGGTTCAGCCTGTTCGCTTTGATTCTTTGGTTTGCGAGGTACAAGGAAGCCACAGATGGCCGGGGATGCGGGTCAAGCAAGGCGTTGTTTGGCACGCGTTTCCAGGGGGCCTGTGTATACCACTGAAACCATCGGAGAGCATCATGTACATTGCTGAAGGCTTCCCGCTATTTCAGAGATCTCAGGGCATAGCAGTTGTGGATGCCTGCTTGCCCATGGCTTCTATCGGCCTTCAAGCAGGCATCATCCAAGTTGCTTCCTTGTTCGATGGTTTTTGCATTCTAGACATCTGCAGTTTCCCAGTGACCAGCAAGACGTTGCACTTTTAGTACGAGGCCGAAGACCCAAATGTGCTGCTAAGCTGCGGACTTGGCAAGGGTTGCAAGGTATTGGCGTGGATTCGCAAGCAGCCCATACTCTTCGATGGTATGTCTTGACTCTCCCTGCCGTTTCGTGCAGAAGTTTCATGGGGTGCTCTTTAAAGGCCATCCCAAAGATCCCTCTGCGTCATAAAGGGATGCGGTTCCTTTTGTGTTTGTTTCCCTCTTCCGTGAGCAGTTGGTGTTGGCGCCGCAATTGGGCACCACGTAAAGTGGCAGATTACCTTGTGGTTTCCTTCAGATACCAATAGGGCGAAGCGGACCGTTGCTTCAACAAGGGCGAGGATCTCCATCCACGCTATCTGGACCTGACAAAGTGGCTAAGGATGTTAGGCAGGCTTGCAGAAGCCCCAAAGATCTCAGGGTGCTGGCAGGCAGTGGGAGTAGTGGGAGTATAACCTTGGACCCCTCTGAAAAATGATGACGACATTCTTTCCGCCACCGTACACCCCAAAACCATACCCCTGAACATGCCGATGACCCTTGTAAACAAAAAAAACAACGAATCACAGCAATTCTACTGGGCGATGCGTTTTCGGCGCGGGCTTCGTTCCCAAAAACGGGTCCTGCCCCGCGACCCGTCCGCGAGGCCATGAAGAAGCCGCTTCCGGAGCTGGCCACGCCCTGCGGCCTCTTCGCCGTCTTCGAGGAACGCTCAAGTGGGTGCGGCTCAAAATTGGCCAGGAGGGGCAAACCGCAGGTCTTGGTATGTTTCCACTTACCAGGGCAAGCCATTTTAGAATTCCGGTTTTTTGAGCCACAGCCAATTGGCTGCGGGTCAGACAGCGCTTGGGGGGGTTGTCTCTTATCGGAGGGTTTAGACGGGTAGACTTAAACCCAGGGTGGTTGATTTCCCCCCAAAGGGAAACCCCTGTCTCTTAATGTTGACCCCATAGTAATCAACCCCAGTTCATTAATAGGGGGGTTGCCCTGGGTGAAATGTGGGAAATCAGACACCTTTGGGAGGGGTACTCCCACCTATTGGGGTTGATTAATGCGGGGTCAACGCTACCAGCCCTCAGTTTGCCCCTGCGGCAAGTCAACTTGTTTCCCCATAGACCGTGCTGGCTTCGTCCCAGACAAGACGCATTCTGGCAAGCTGTGGCAATTTTGCAAAAGGTTTGTGGCCTCCCTTGTTTTGGGTTTGAGCTGTCACAACCCAGACGAAGGCATGGCACGCGGTTTTGAGAGTGACAGGGCCCAGAAGATTTGTGGCAAGCCAAAGTATGGAAGTCTGAGATTCTGGCTATTTTCTCCCTGCATTTGGCCAAGAGTGTACTTCGCGATGTAGCATCCTCTATTGTGTGGTGGACAGTTTGTTCGCCTGGATGGACCAGCTTGAATGGAGGATTCATGAACCATTGCTCCCTGAGACAGCAGAACTAGGGAAAGGGGGACACTGGCCACTGAAGACTGGCCGTTCTGGCATTCGCTCAACAGATGCAGCAATGACTCTGAGCTGCATCACCATGGGGAATCCGTGTTTTTGAATACTTGGCACACTCTCGGTCCGGTCTTTTTGCCCCTCTTTGATGGATGTCCCACTTCGAACACATGCGCCATCGGGGCTAGCTTGGAAGCTAGGGCTTAGGAACATGTTTTTCTGTTTTTCTAGAGCAGTATGTGCACATCCGTTTCAGCCTGAGGGCAGTGGGGGCAAATTCCCCATTTTCCCGCTCCGCAACCGGTCCGCCTGTTCCGCCCGTTCCGCTTGCAGGGTCAGCCGCTGGCGTCGGAACACTGTGCGAAGCCGCTGACCCGAAGAGCTCTGGGTTTGAGGTCGGGTGTTTTCTTTGACTTGGATTTATGGCGCATTTCTGACTAAGGCTTAGTGGTGGGCTAGTTGACAGGTTGGTGTTTTGCCTTGAAGGTATTATGTGCGGTGGATGCGCGATATGGACACGCGGTGTAATAAGCTTACAAACTCTTCATCCTTTTTATTCGTCGTTCGGACGTCATCTTGCGATTCGCTGTGTATGTGTTCTCGGGCTCAAGCGCGGGGAAGACATGGGCTCCCTGCCTCCCCCCCTCCCGCTCTCGCTCCCTCCCTGTCTCCCTGTCTCCCTGTCTCCCTGTCTCCCTGTCTCCCTGTCTCCCTGTCTCCCTGTCTCCGCCTCTCTTTGTCTCCCATGTCTCCCTGTCTCTCTGTCTCTCCTTTCTCAGTCTCCGTGTCTCTCTCTCTCTCTCTCTCTCTCTCTCTCTCTCTCTCTCTCTCTCTCTCTCTGTCTCCCTCTCTCTCTGTCTCTGTCTCTGTCTCTGTCTCTGTCTCTGTCTCTGTCTCTGTCTTTGTCTCTGTCTCTGTCTCTCTCCCCCTCTCTCTCTCTCTCTCTCTCTCTCTCTCTCTCTGGATGCTGAAACTTGTCCGCCAAGCTGCCACCCCATATTGGAAAGCTCCACTTTGGAGAATGGATGGTGGTGGTTTGCTCGTCAAGGATGCATCTGCAGTTCACGGCAGCTGAAAAGCATGGGTAGGTGGTCGGCCAACGACACGACTTACATAGGAAGGGAGTCTTTTAAATCAAGTTGGAGAGCAGCTGAATTCTGGTCGACTGATTGGCTGGGGTGTGTCTCTAGGCTCCAAACCAGATATGAGTGGGCACGACATGTACACATTCAACGTGTGGATCAGCCAAGCGTCCTACATGTTTGGACTTTGTTCCTTGTGACAATATCATGTGGGTGGCAAACAGCTCTTTGGGTTTTGCTTCAGCCAATCTACTTGAACGGAGACCTCCCTTCCTGAGCTTTGTCTTCAACACGCCACCAATATACCAATCTGGTGTTTTGATTGCTGGCTTTAATTGCGGCCCCAGGAGGACCGTTTCGAAGAAAGGGTCTCCCATTTGCTCCGCGCCGATCGTCTTGCGCGGATTCCGTTTTTTTTTTTTTTTTTTTAGGTCAGAAGGTTGCCCGGTTGCCCCCCTATGATGAACATGATGTTTGAACCGGAGGGACGGTTTTCGGGTAGGGGTCCAACGGTCCAACGTAGATTTTCCCGGGGGATCTCAAGGCTGGGGTTTGTCTGGCCGGCTTAGGACCTTGCACCTGCAGCTCTTGCAGCACCTCTCCAAAGTTGAGGGGAAGGCTGGCCCGGCCAGCCGGGGAAGGGGGGGGCAAATGAGTGCCGCAAATGATTGGGCCATTTTACAGACGGTCCTGGGGTCCTTCGTCCTGCTTCGATGGGGCTGTGCAGATCTTTCTAAGCAATTCGGTGGAACCAATTGCTCAAACGGTCCACGAAATGGAGGAATGCGGAGCAATACGCAATACAAGCGGCAGGGCATCCCCTGCGATGGCTTAGCGACGGAAGGTTGGACAAGGCCTCCTTGACGAGAGACTTCCTGCAACAGCAGGTGAAGGTATGATTGAAAGCAAGAATATCCTGGATCAATTTTTGCTACCCCAACCCAGGAATTCATCTTTGATGAGACTTACCAGTAAATCTATTTCACATTTTACCGATGACGAACATCTTGCAGTTGCAGCAGGGCCCAAGTGCAATTCTCAGGGCGCATTCTCTGCTGTACAAGCGCGCCAACCTTGCGGAGGGATGCTCATGGTGGCTCATAGTCCCCTTGACTTGAGACATGCCCTGGAAGCCCAACGGCAAAGCCCCCAAATCTGCCTGAACCTGGCGAGTCGCCCTGGCCCCGAGCCAGGTCACAGAGCTGGTGCTGAAGCGGTGCCTCCGAGGGGCGCTGGTGGCGCTGGATGTGGAAGTGCAGGAAAGCCCAAGGCAAGCTATGCCCCCGAAAGTGACTC